GGAAAGCCCCTGTCATTGGAAGCATCTACCCATCCATCCATCTGATCTTTATGGAGAAAACTGTGCCCATCTCATCACCTCTCCAACCACACGTACCTTCTAAGACATGTTATGGGAGGAGATCATGGACTGCCCGGACTTGTGCAAAGCATTTGACACTGCCCCGCACAACATCCTTGTCTCCAAATTAGAAAGACATGGATTTGATGGATGGGCTATGGTGGGTAAGGAATTGGCTGGATGGTTACACTCAAAGAGTCGTGCTCAACAGCTCGATGTCCAAGTAGAGATCAGTGATGAGTGGTGTTCTGCAGGGGTTGGTGCTGGGACAAGTGCTGTTTAACATCTTTGTTGGTGACATGGACAGTGGGATTGAGCGCACCCTCAGCAAGTTTGCTGATGACACCAAGCTGTGTGGTGCGGTCAACATGCTGGAGGCAGGGTATGCCATCCAGAGGGACCTTGGCAGGCTAGAGAGGTCGGCCTGTGTGAACCTCATGAAGTTCAACAAGGCCAAGCGCAAGGTCCTGCGCATGGGTCTGGGCAATCCCCAGCACAGATACAGGCTGGGCGGAGAATGGATTGAGAGCAGCCCTGCGCAGAAGGACTTGGGGATGTTGGTTGACGGGAAGCTCAACATGACCCGGCAATGTGCATTTGCAGCCCAGAAAGCCAACATATCCTGGGCTGCATCAAAAGAAGAGTGGCCAGCAGGTTGAAGGAGGGGATTCTCCCCCTCTACTCTGCTCTCAAGAGACCCCACCTGCAGTACTGCATTCAGCTCTGGGGCCCCCAACATAAGAAGGACACGGACCTGTTGGAGCGAGTCCAGAGGAGGGCTGTGAAGATGATCAGAGGGCTGGAGCACCTTTCCTGCGAAGACAGGCTGAGAGAGTTGGGATTGTTCAGCCTGGAGAAGAGAAGGCTCCAGGGAGACCTTGTAGCAGCCTTCCAGTACCTAAAGGGGGCCTGTGGGAAAGCTGGAGAGGGACTTTTTACAAGTGCCTGTAGTGACAGGACAAGGGGTAATGGCTTTAAACTGAAGAAGGATAGATTTGGATTAGACATAGGGAAGAAGTTCTTCACTGTGAGGGTGGCGAGGCACTGGAACAGGTTGCCCAGAGAGGCTGTGAATGCCCCATCCCTGGCAGTGTTCAAGGCCAGGTTGGATGGGGCTTTGAGCAGCCTGGGCTAGTGGAAGGTGTCCCTGCCCTTGGCAGAGGGGTTGGAACTACATGATCTTTAAGCTCCTTTCCAACCCAAACCAGTCTATGATTCTGCCATAACTACCTGTTTACAAATATGGTTGAGAAAGGAGTGAGTAGGGAAGGGAGGCATGTTGCTGGAGATAGCCATTGAAACAACTTGTAGGGGAAGTAGTGTAGTTGTGGAAATTCCATCCCAACAAAAATAAAGGGAGGAGCCTTTCATTCTTTGTTTATCAAAGGTAGGAAACAAATGGAATGAAGCAAGATTGAGAAGTTAAAGCCTAGTGGCTCTTATTTGTATGGCTTCCATATCCTCAGGCTTTACCTAGCTTACACTTGTCTGCCAGTAGCACAGCTCATCTAATTTTAAAAGAGAAGGTATGCTTGAAAGGATGGCTCTCTGCCCAAAGGACCTGCAGCCTGATTTCATTAAAAGTCAGCTATAAATCTTTACAAGATTTCCATTATTCTTGAGGTAGCCTGGTCTTTATGTGACTGACAAAGTGGAGGCATGAGTGATTTTGGGCAGCACCTATTACACCTGGATCAAATGGTGCTGATTCATTATCCCTGTAAATCAGGCTCTCGACAGCTCAGGTACTGAACCCCAAATTTCTAGCACTTGCCGCAGTGTAACCTTCAGTGACTCCTATCTGGAAAAAGAGCAGCGTGTGCCACTCTGGCTTAGCTTGGTGCATGTCTGTTGGCATTGTTGGAATGACATATTATTTTGCTTCAGTGGATGGGCTGTGTGTTCAGTGCCTGTCCATCACAAAATTGCCTTTTTGCTGAACGGAGAGAAATGTAGCAATTTCTTGGAGTTATATCTAAAAATGGGACAGATCACCAGCTTGTAGAAATTGAATTACTGCCTGCTTTTTAGTGAACATGACAGATTCTCTCTTAAGGGTAAGTCAGTGGTATAGTATCCAGAATGCTAACACAGCATTATGTCCCAAATTCTCATCCAGCTACCTTGTATCTCTGAAGCCTTTTTCAATACCTTGGTAAAAGCCCAGCTTTCCATTTCATCAGCCCACATTTGGGGGAATTTTGTAATGGCAAATGCTTCTTCACCAGACATTGCTACACTGCATAGTGAGTAGCTCACAGAAATGACTCAAATGTTTTAAATGCTTGGTTTCCAACTTTCTTCCCCATGGAAGGCCTTAATGGCCTTTGCCTGGTGTTTTTCTATACCTTTGCCCAAGAAGGCATGGTTTGACATGGAGCAGGAGTTGGCTTGAACCAGCATACCTGGGGGGTGGGAGTGGAGGGGAGGGATTTCTCCCTTTGGAGCGGATCAGTTAGGAGCAATGAAGAGCGCTGGCCTGGGGAAGTCACTGGCTCTTTCTGCAGTGGCTTGTTCCCCTTGGTCATGATTCTTTAGTCACACAAGAAGAGCAGAAAGTGAATTTGTTGGGCCTGTGTGGAGACCCTGCTTGCTGGAGTCTTCAATAGTTGTGGCTGGTCTGGAGTCTGGACATGGAGATTGGTGGCCAGGATGGCTCTGTAGCCACCTGAGAAGCCATCAGGAAATGGGGCAGTAGTTTGAATGTTTGCTACATCCATGTTAGGATGCAGATATTTGGGGCTGAAGGTGATGATTATTCCTCTGGACTAGCTCTTTGATGGCCAGATTTGGCCTTTTAAAGAGGTTTAATGATAGGATATATCTGTGCAAGTTTTCCTCCAAGCTTAGAGTATATGTTTCAGGCTTCATTTACTGCTATCACCACAAAATTTCTGTCTCTCTGTATCTTTTGTATTTCTTTGCTCAGGCTGATGCTAGAAGTCCATGAATTTAGAGTTGTGTGGGGGGAAGAGTGGGGATGACTGGGAGAAAAGCTTAAATCATTGCAAGTAGGGTGTGATAGTGATTCAGATCCCCGTTTCTTGGGTCAGCCCATTGTTTGCCTATGGCTTGGGTGGAGTCTGAGAGGTGTGATGGTTCTGTTTGGGGCTCCAGTTGCCCAGTTGCTGGGCTCACACTAACCTGCCCTTTAAAGAAGATAGTCTCACTGCAATAGGACTTAGATTGTAAGCTCTATTTTGCTCTTGGTCCTAGTCTTCAAATCACAATTCAAGTCATGGCTGGCTGATTTGAGATGGACTGATGAAGGCTTGAGATTCTCCTGAGAGGGCAAATGAGGAGATGGTATTCAGGAGAAAACTGTTTGGAAAGAAGACAAATTTGAGCTATTAGCAATATCAGTGCTATATTTGATGCTGTCAAAGCCATTGATTGGCTCAAAATTAATGTAGCAGCACTTTTTTGGATTTCACGATAGCTCCTTCAGAGGGAAGAAAAGCAGTCCATTGTGGGGAAAAAACACTAAAATCCTTCTTTCCTGAAATAAATACTGACTCAGAAGGTGGCAGACCCAGCTCAAATGTAGGATACCCTTGTGTTGTGGGACCCTGAAAAATAGCCCCACAACTATAAAGAGTTGTGCAATATTAACATAACATAACCTGATATAATAAATATATAAAACTTGTAAATAATCCCACAACAATAAATGTATTCTAACTATTGAAATTGAAAATAGTCTAGCTATGCATTTATGTTTTCCTCTCTCTTATCCTCCTGCTACTTTTACTTCTGCTAGTAAAGCCAGAGGAAAAGAATAGTATTTAAGCATTCATTTTATGCTGATGAATTTCTTCTTTGTTTTAATACTCAGGTTAAAAGGAGTATCAATGAAACAAAACAACAAATGCAATAATTTAAATGTCAGACATGCTAGAGGTAAACATGTATCCCCGGAGTCAGAGAGAGGGTTCAGTGTGATCGTATAAGAAACCTTAGCTAAAACAAAGTTCAGTCTCTCTAACAGCATCAGTCACTTTCTTGTTACTTAGAAATGAATCCATTTTGTATCTCAGGGGAAATGTATTCGTTTGAACTTGTTGATTAGAAAGTATTGCATTAGTGAATGATACCATTTAGTGAAGAGCTGAGTGAGTGCCAGGAGAAAAACCCAAAAGGCCACACCGCAAAATGTACTTTGTTAATTTATTTAATGAAACCAAATCTTTTATTTAGAATGTTTCAGTAGAAATGCAACAGAAAATTGGATGTTTTATTTAAATGAAATCTGATAATTAAGCAATTTGCTATTGCACTGTCTCTCCTTGTAAATTTGATGGTGGTGACACTGAGGGATGAAGTGATAAATGGGGTGGTAGGGCACATTTTCAAATCAATAGAGTGTTAGGAGGGCTGAGGTTTGGGGGTTTTTTAGCAGTAGTATCAGATGTAATTTAAAGTCCTTAAAATTCTGCAGTTCTGATTTTCAAATCACAAGAATGAAGAGTAACATGCCTCTGTAGTCCCTTGTCTCTAGTAGTAAGGCTTTAAATAGCTGTGCTTCAGATTAAGAAATCACTGGTGCCCATTAACTCTCAGCTAACATGTAAGGAGTAAACTGTATTAATTACTGAGTTCATCTGTCTTGAATGCAAGCTGATAGTAATCAGATGTGAAAAAGAAGCCTACTATGGTTCATCAGGTCCAGTTTGTGTAGGACGTGCTGTACAGTAATTTGTTATGAGCTGTAGGTACTTTAGATTCTGTGTTGTCAAACACTTTTTTTTTTCCGCCCCCCCCTTCTCTCTCCCTCCCAATCCTCTCCCTGTTAGGAGTTCTAGGAAGAGCCCAGGAGCCCAGAGGGGTATAATCCTCATCACTGAAGGAACAACACAGGAAATGTGTATAATGCTAACAGCTGAGAAAAACATGCTTCATATCAGCAGCAATTAAAACTGATGAGCAGCAGCATTGGAACCATGGGGTGTAGCAGTTCTGTAGCTGACAGAAGGTCAGAGAGAGGTGAGTGCTGCCTTTGTCTACAGGGTTAGTGGTTGTTCTCTCTGTAATACTAGAAGAGGATTGCAAGGTTACATTTCCGCCCAGTCCTGTTGTCAAAACACTTTTTCAGAGAAAATTATTTTCTAATTATCTTCTTTTAAAAAGAGAGCGTAGCTTTTAGATGCTGGCTGAGGTCAGAAGGCAACTGTAGACCACTTCTAACATCTACAGATTGGGTTGGAAGAGATCCACAGCATCTGGGACAGAAGCTGAATTTCACATGTGTCTGTGCTTGCTCTGTCACTGGCCAAGTGTATGGGGTAAGGTATTGAGGGGGACCTTTTATGGCCTTTCACAACACAGGATTCCTGGGAAAACTGCCCCAATTTCTCTGCTGCTGGGTGACCCCGATTATGAAACAAGTGTAATAAAGCAGAGCTATTACAATGACTCTCAGAATCAATTTTCTGCCATACCAAGTGCCCAGCTGGAAATTCTCCCTGACAGTCACAGAGGCTGTCAGTTGAAAGTCTCCACAGTCCCTAGTTAAATGTTCAATTAAAAAACTTAATGCATCATCTGCCTGCTTTTAATTGTACCACACCCTGGTATGAACATACCAGGCTTTGCACAGGCAGGTGGGTTCCACGATTGCCTCAGACCTTTGTTCAGATGCTTTGTGTTCTCTTTCAAGGTTTGTCAAGAGCCATGTTACGTGACACTGCATGTAGTCTTAGGAGATTATTATGCTGAACAGCCATGGTTGAAAAGGAAGGCTCTTTTTGGCTACCAAGCCAGGACACAAGTCACAGGAAACTGGTGACTAAGAAGCAGGAGCGCTTAGTCATGGCTACAGGGATCCAAGGTGACTAGTTTAAGGGTAGCCCTCAGCTTTGTGCACACTACTTGGCTGTCACAGTAGCATCAGTGCTGTATCACAGCAGTGGAAGTAGAACGGAAATACCTGGAGTCCCAGACCTGTAACTGGGAAGTGGTCCTTCCTCTTTGGGTTTGCATGCTATGCATTTATGTGCCTTGCAAGGCCTCAGAGATGAATTAGTTGGGATTATTTCTGAGGGTGCAAAAGCTTGGAGCGAGTATGAGGAGCTGTACTCTTTCTCGGTCTACAACCATCAATACACATTGGTGTGGAGCCTGGCTTTGCTACCCCAAAGCTGGCTTATGATTTTGTGTTTGTTTGACGATGTTTTGTCCTCTCCAGTTGCTGGGTAGTATTCTTTCTGCACCTTGGCAGTAGCCAAATGATGCTGAACCGTCATTCTATCCACAGCCTGAGGCTGTACAACCCTCTAATGCATTAATAACATGAATTTAACAGGTACTTGCTGGTGTAGAGACCTTCTGCAACTGATAACAATTTCTTTTACAGATGCAGTTTAGCCTAGTGTGAAAATAATGTTCTGATTCAGTCCTGAAAATAACAGCACTGTAATAAGTACAATTAAAAAAAAATTACAGGAAATATTATGTTAGATTTGCAACATTAACCACAGTGGTCGATATATATCTGTCTTACGTGATACCAGTGGAAATGTGCTCAGGACCATTAAGCAACCCAGGGGGGCTTTAATGGGAAGTTTAATGGTTCTGATGCTGGAAATCAGTTTCTGTGCTGGTGGCTGTGCTTTGCCCCTTAGGTACTCTTCTAAACAGAAAAGTTGATGACAGCCTTGCTGTGATGTGTCAGGCTTTGAGGTCTGTGGTGGTGGGGAATTCCAGAAAGTCCAGAAAATAAGAGAGGTCTCAGAGCTTGTGTAAGGTACGAAGGATGCTCTTAGTTATGAGGATTATATTTCCTTCAGGCAGGAAGATTTTTCTAAGATGGATGTGATGTCTGTAGGATGGGAGTCTTAACTGATTTTTTGGCCTCATCTGGACTAAAAAACTTTACCACTTTAACTATACTGTATACTTATTAATGATAAAATAAGCAAATAACATGCTATTATGGCACCTGTAAGCATTTTTATTAAAAAAGCTTCCTTAATGTTATACATTTATTAATAGAATCACTTCTCCATGGAGTTTTTTCTTTACCTGCATAACTGTCAGTTTAAGAAAAAAAAATCATTCTCGGGGTGCCACTTATCCTAGTGTCAAAATTCCTGGTATTTGTGATCAGCTAAAATAATTGACTAGTGTAAACTGTTGTCCCTCTAATACAGAGCTTCTCTTTGCTGTTTTGCAGGGAGAAAAAGTATTAGTATGAATTGTTAGTTACTATTTCTTGTTTTGTTTTGTTTTTCAGTATCAACTGTTCATTTCGGCAACTGTAGTAAAATAAAAGTGTATTGGTGTTAAGACATTAGTGTTGGTTTAAGTGTCCTCTTTTTTTTTCTTCTTCATGAATTTGCAGTGCTGTGCAGTGGTGATTTTGTCAGACTGTGGAATTCAGAAGAGTGTCTCAGTTTTGTTTCTGTGCTTCTCCTGGTCATCTGTTCATCTGCTCAAAAATCAGCTCTAGTTCTTGAGAGTGTTAGGAGCTAAGATCAGTGTATTCCTTTTGTCCTTGTACCTTCAATAGAGTTGCCCTGCAGCTGCTTTGACTTGTTCCCCAAGATCAGAAGCATAAAGACTTTTTTCTGTGTCCTATGCTGAGCTATTAAGTTAAGTTCCTTAAACTCCTTGAAGTGAGGTGTTAGCTGCAGGGCTGGAGGCAAAAGCTTGACACTTGTGGCCCTGTCTACTTATTTACTGGTATCCTTTTGAGAGTACAGGGAAAAAGAGGTAAGGAACCAGTCAAGAAAGAATTATGTTCAACTTTAAGTGAGTAAATGTGACATCTCTTGAGAGTAGCCTCCTACCTTACTCTATTTTTTTGTTGCCAGGCAAGAATATGGTGGTGGTGATGTCATTGCATTGAGACAGGTGTAGGATCCAATACCCCTGTGCTCTTCCTCTCGCTGTTATGCAGTGGTGTGTGTAATGCCTCTTGACTGTCCCTGTTGGTGCTCTGTAGGGCTAAGCATGTTAATACAGAGTCCCCTTCTGACCGTAATTTAAGCAAATGACTGGATTTGAGTTTGCCATTATCTGAGCTGCTCAATCTTCAAGGCAGTAGCTGTATTTTTTTCCAATATTGTCTAGTAAATGGTGTCCTCCTCTGGATCATAAATCCATACTTACATATGCCCTAAGTATCTGAAATGTGCGTTTATTCCTCTCTAGCTGATCTTAAAAAAAAAAACAGTTAACAAGTGACTGAGGAATGCTTTTCTCAAAGTTAGTTGATCTTTCTGGATAAGCACCCTTAAAGCACTAGAGAGTCACAGCTCTGTGAAACAGAAGAAGTTACTGCTGAGCATTTGTTCCTCCTCTCCCAAGCTCATGCTTATTTCAGGCCAAGCACAGCCCCTCCAGCCTTCTGCTTTCACTCCTCCCTCCAGGTCTGTCAGAGCTGCAGTGACCATCTGTAATGTGGAGGGCATGCCTGCCTTTTATCTTTCACCTTTCCTCTTGTCTTCCTGCTCACAGTGCTACTGCCACCCATGTTTCACACCCTGGCTCCTTAGAGCTGCTGCCCTTTGGGGACCAGGAGTAGCAGGGGGGATTGTCAGCATGGTGGGGAGGGATCAAGTGAGCATCAGCTCCTGGATCTCCTGTCCTCCTGGCACAGCTTTGGCTGGTGGCCACTGTTCATGCAGCACTAACTGCTTGACATAGGTGTGAGGAGCTATCCCCAAAGGACAGTGCCCACCCCGGGACCTCCTTATGCCACCAGATGTTGTTCTGCTTGACAAACTTTTATCTGAGCAGCTAAGGGAATGTAATCTGTTTGTGGCATGACTTGGGCCTGTAGGCAGCAGGTCCTTCACTCTATGCTGCAGCCTTGGCGATTGCCCTTCAGTGAAGTTTCCAGCAGTTTTCCAGACTGGGACAATAGTAGACACAACTTCTTGAAGTGCTGAGTGGGATGCGTATTCAGCATATAGTCCAAAATGGTCTTCTGACATGTCCCATTGAATTCTTGGGGTGAGCGTTCCTTTGTTCACTAAGCTAGCCAAAGATATATCCGCATGCCTTTTACCATGTCTATTTAACCAACATATTCTGCCCTTCAATTCCATTTGTTAACATTTTATCCTAAAGTTTGAATTTTGCTGGCTTGCTGGTACAGCTGTGCAGGCAAAAACTTTCTGTTAAAAGAGGCTGTTACAAACTCTGTCATTACAGGATGCTCATGTTACAGCTTGCAAAGTCTGAAGCTTTTTACTGCAGCTTGGTAAAGAAATACATTTTGTTGGTAGGTCAAATTGCTCCTCTTCCTTTCCTCACCTTCCCCAAACCCACACACTGCCCATCAGCTGAACATGGCTGACTTCTTACATGGGTACTGTCTTCAGGACAATGAAATGGGGAAGGTTTCTAGCAATATAGCCCTGAGTAAGTCAGCTAGTTTGGGATCTGTCCATGAAGACAGAAAGAATAAATGTATCATGTATTCATTATCAGAAAACCCTTTTTCAGAGTTTCATCTTAAATGTTGACTGCGCACAATGGACTGAATTTGTCATCTGTCTGCAAAATTCTGCAAAGGTAGCTTGTGTGTTTTCATTGTAGATTACACTGCATCCATGTGTACTCCCTTGCTTTCTGTTTTGACAGTCATTAGAGCTGCTATCCTCATCCAGAACTGGTACCGCTTTACAATGGCCCGGCTAGAGATGAGGCGCCGCTATTCTCTGAGTATCTTTCAATCAATTGAATATGCAGATGAGCAAGATCAACTACAGGTTTGTAATCTTCAATTCTTCCTGTACAAGCAGTTATATTATCCCCAGAGGACTGAAGCTGCACAAACAAAATGGATATGTGGTTATTTCTCCCTGCAAAGTTGTCCCCTGTATGATAAAACCGCTTCCCTGCCTCACGCATGAACTAATTAAGTTGTGTGTATACATACGTATATTAAAAAAAAAAACCCTACATAAGCAGCAGGACACCATTCTGCCTGTACAACCACATCTAGGTTAGAGGTTCCTGTAGAACAGCTCTGTTAGCCAGGGATTGCAGGCCATCCCCCTATGGGTGATCTTAACCATGTCTGTGAGGCAAGATAATGTGCAACAGAGATACCAGTGTCTCAGCATGTCAGCCCAGGCTTCCTTTAGGGTCAAAACAGGGAATTAGGAACTTCTAGGGCTTTGTGTTCATCCTAGCATCAGTGTCTAAAGTCAGTTTGGTGCATTGTAGCAGTATCTTTCTATTGACTACAAAGTCTAGACAAATAGTCTGGGTGACGGGCAAGATGAATGACACCCAAAAATGTCAGCAGCATTGATACAGCCCTGGAACTTTTTATGTATTCATATAGTGTCAATCTGCTAATTCATAGCAAAGAAGGAAAGGAGTAAGCTGTTTTTGTAGTAGGACACAAGTTGTGTCATTATTGCAGGCTGATGCTATGGGAACATACAGGAGTGTGTTAGATCCCCTAAATGGGAAATTGCTAGTAATTAAGGAAAGAGAATGTTAATACTTGTTGGATCCCCAAACTGATCTGTGTGTGTGTGTTCTTTTGTTTTTCTTACTCAGCTATCCAACTTCTTTACATTCATGCTGGATCACTGTGCTCATCCTGACTCAGGTAAGGATAAAAATCAAAGTAATACGGAGATTCTGTTTGAAAAACCTGATGTGAGTGAAGTGAATTTTCAATGTGATGTTTACAGCATATGGCACGTGCTGGGGCTGAGGTGTGATTTCCCAAATACTGTAATAAGAATTTTATCCTGTGACTGTTGACTGTGTTCAATATCTACCCAGTGAGTGAAGATGGAAGACAGAACAGATACCTGTTGTTCTTATGAGAATACTCAGAGGTGCTCAGAGTGCTTTGTTACATGTTACTGCCCTTAAGCTGTTCTCATCGTGGTCATACTGACTCCAATTTTCACAGCTTTCTGTGCATGTTTTCTTAAACTGTGAGATGTGATTATCCAGAAAGACTGTGTTTAGTTGGTTTAGGGCAGGTGTAATCAAAGAGGTTGCCTTCAAAAATTCTCTCCCCTTTTTTTTTTTTTTTTTTTTTTTCTTTTTTTTATCCCTGAAGCAGTTCTGGAGTACTTTTTAATTTAATTTGTTCTAGATTTCACTGCAAAACATGTATCGGTATGTGAATGATTAAAAATGAAATAAATTTAAACTGCTGGAGATAAATCTTTAGAAACCATCTCAATTAAAGCTCAGTTATTCAAAGAATAACCTTTAATTTTTGAAGTATTTTGGGATCCTTGGACAAAACTTACTTTTGAGGTCAAGCTCAACAGAAGGACAGGCTGAAAGTGATTCCTAAGTCCAGAAAACAAATATGATTTCCCTGAACAAATTGAGAATACATCTCATCCCAGCGGAGTTAAAAAGGAGGCTGTCCCCTTCTTACTGAATTACAGAAGAATGTCCTTTCTCTTTCATGTGGTCCAGCCACAGGTTATTCCAATTAAAATTTGCACAAGACACTTTGATAGCAGGATAAAACCACCATCAAAACTGTAAGTGGTTCAGTGTTCTAATGACAACCATTAGAAATGGGAATTCTTCTCTCTTAAATACTTTAGAGTGCTTAATGCTCTCTGTGCTCTGCAGAAAAAGAAATTATGTTTGAGCCTTGTTCCAAAGCCAAGGCAGATGATACAATAGTTCTTCCTTTGATTTTTTTTCCATTACCACTGTATTCTGCAAAACCCCCTGCTTTAGTCATTTAACTTCCTGGGAAGAAATTGACAAACATAAAGAAAATCAGACATTGCTCACTTCATCTACTTCTACACCCTGATAACACACCTCAGTTCAGCTTTTCCACCTGAGTGGGAAAGAAAATAGTAGTGCTATGTCTGAGATTTAGAAAAATAGTGTTAATCTCTATTTTCATTATAATATTAAAAGGGAATTTTACAGCTGCTCATTGTAGATGTGATTTATCCACCTTTATTAACTGTGTCTATTGGCAGAAGGAATAAAGGTAAGGTGCCTCAGGTGACTTGCTAGGGCTCAGGACATGGCTGGTACAGAGCACACTGCTACATGCATAGGCTCTTTGTGGGCAGGTGGAGATCCAGGCCCCACCTGTGCACAGGGAGGGACGGAGGGTACTGTGGGCTGTCCCTTGTCACACCTGCACAGGTGACCTGTTTCTTGGTTTTGAAGGTATTGGGAGTTGTGGATGTGGTTAAGGCTGAAACACATGGTAAAGTGTATGATTTATGGTAAAGCTCCCCTTTGGCTTGCTTAAAACATTCATCTGTTAGGACTGAAGCTGTTAAGCCTTGATAACTGCACCAAAGGCTTTACTTTTGTCTTGGTTTGTTATTTCCCTCTTTCTATCACCCCATGTTACAGATACCAGAACCCAAAACAAAACAGAAGGATTCTGTACGGTACATGTTTGAGAGAGACAGCTGAGGCTGCCTATGCAAAGGACCTACCTTAGGGGTTTTTTTGAGAAATTACACATCAAATTTGTATTGTGTGGTTTGTGGTTATGTTTGTCCAACTACTGTCTGTGTGCATTCTTTACTTCAAGCTCTTGATTGCTTGCCCCTCTAAAGGGACCTTTGCAGCATCCATGCTAGCCCCACTGATTTAAGCAAAATCAGTGCTGAGTAGAGTGATTCTTAATGAACTGCTTCCAGTTCTGCTGAATCACCATCTTAAGGTGTGAGCCATGGTGAGTGTAAACATAACAAGGAGAGAGGCTTCAAATTGGCTTTGCTATTCCCAACATTTTCTAAACCCCACGATTCTCTGGCTTAGTGTGTGCTCACTTAAATTAGAGTGATAGCATATGGTTCAAAAGCCCTCTCCAAGAAGATAGAATATAATATTCCTACCAGAGAATAGGTTGCCTGTTCTTCTCAGTATGTGGTAAGAAAGCTACCTGAAGATTTTGTGATCTGTGTTTTTCCTTACATTATAAGCACTCAGTCTCCACTATTCATCTTGTCACTTTCCTCTTTTTAATCTGCTTTTTCAGAATATGTTTTTTAAAGAAAGAAAGCAGTCACCATCTCATTCACACAGTAGTGCTTTTGATGTGATTGTTTATCTGTTGTACCCTGAAGCTTTTTTCATCCTCTCATCCTGCTTAAGATGTCAGTGCAGTTTACATTGTGATTGGGATATTATATAGCTGTGTGTCTTGTTCTTGTTCTGCTTGTGATTAAAGGCTATTTTCCAAGGGTTTGTGGGAAGTAAGAATTAAAACCTTTTCTACCTTACACTTTTCTCCCTTCCTACCAGAAAAAAATCTGCATACCTACTCAGCCTTTCAATGGAAAGATTGCTGGTCAGAGAAAGGTGGAAACTGTTTTTCCAGCAAAAGGTGACCCATTTATTCATTCTTTTGTGGGTGCATTGAGGGTGAGAAGGCTGCAGACATGTCTTGGGCAAAGTTGTGGGACTGGGAGTCCAAAGCACCCCTGGCTGTGCCTCTCAAGGTCACCAGGGCAGAAGCCACACCTCTGGGAGCCTTCCTTCAAAAGGGAACAAAAAAATAAGTGCTGTTTTCTGCAGCTTCACTCCCCATGATGCCTCCCTTATAGCATTAACACCCTTCCAAGGGTTTTTGCACAGGGTGATTCTTGCAGTGGGGAGTAAGTCATAGCTGCTTGCAGCTTACAGTGCCAGGAACGGAGTGAAGGAATAAATATTTGCAGCGTTGTAGAAGTGTTCATCCTCTTAGTGGGCTCAAGGTCCATCTGGCTTTGACCTGATGGCTGGGAATCAGTATCTGGCAGATGTAAGAGCACTCCTCAGGAGCCACAGGTGCTCTCAGGTACCCCAGTGGTTAGTCTGAAGGTGCATGGATGGTGGCAGAACAGAGAGCTTATTTCAGAGCCACAGAAGTAGCTGATTCCCTGTTACCCCGATAGCAAGTACGTCCTTGGCAGTGGTGTCTTTGACTTGCCTTGAATGACTCCCATGGTGAGGTGGTCTTGTCAGGAGAACCAGATCCCTGGGCTTTCTATGGCCAAAGTGACTCCATGTAGCTCTGGGCTTTCATATTTAACATGGAATATGGCTATTGTCCTGTAGGTTAGTTGTATGGGGTCTGCTAATAGTAAAGACTCAACTCACTGAGGTTGGGCTAGACCTCTGGTGTCAGAGTACAAAGCAGGTCATTCCCTGTACTCCCTGTAGTCAGTAGAGAGATGCAGATGCTGGCAGAGGGTATTTCATTCTGTCTTAAGATGTGCCTGGACTAGGCATGCTGAGAGTTTTTGTCTCTGTCTTTCAATATGGACTGAAAGAGCGTTGACAGCTTCGACTAGAAGATGACTAAAATGAGAGGGGTGCCGAATCCTTCAGAATTAGTCCTGCATGGGGCCTGTGGTGAGCTGGGGTACTTGTCGGCCAGCACGCTAATCCCGAGGCTGCATTAGGGCATCCATTACTGACTGCTCTGAGATGACACAGTCATCCTGTGCAGGAAGGAGCCTTAAAATCCAGCTGAAAGACTGCCTGAGGAGACATTAAGTGCACTCTAAGGCTAATGACTATGACTGGCTTTTGACAACTCATCCAGAAGTGGAAAATGGGGTGTACTTTGCACAGATATGCCCTACAGGGAAGGAGATTGGGTTTCCCAGCCTGGGCACATGCCAAAAAGGAGCTGAGGCTGTGAGGAAGGCAGGTTCCTGTTCAGAGGTAAAGGGATGGGTAGCCTGCTGCGTGCAGGAAGGGAGGGCCGGAGTAGGAGCAGGCATGGGCAGGTGTCTGCCTGGCTTGAATTGCTGAGAAGACCGCTGACTCTGAAGGAGTAGTGTCAGATTAGGAGAGCCTCTGGCCAGAACAGGCAAGCCACGAGGAGTTTGGATGGTCTGAGGAACTGGCTCCGTAGTCTGCAGCCACCCACATCCTGAGAGGTAGGGCACAGAGGGAGATGCTGTCTGGAGACCTGCTGCTAGAGCTGGGATGAGACTTGGTGCAGATGCGCTTGCCTGATCAGTATGTGGGAACCAGCAGTTTCAGTCCCTTGGGTGATGTTCTGGCGCCTGGCCAGACAAAGCTGTAACTGTGGTGGAAGACTGCAAATCAGACTACTTGGTGGAAACGGTGAACTCTGAGCACCTTGCTGTCACTTGATGCTTTAATCCATGTACATGGCTGTACACTGAATGTGCTAATCAGCTCACAGAAGAACAGCTGATACATTTTTTTTTTTAATCCAGAGCTGATAAAAAGTGTATTTTTATCTATTTATTTCTTTAATATGGATTTTATCCAGTTATAAGAAAAGTTGGCCATTATGAATCTCATAATTTATGAGGCTGTATGCTGGTTTTGGCTGCTGTGAGTTTTGAGTCACAGCCACAGGTATTCCTCTAGCAATAAATAATACATTTTTATTTCCAGTTGGATTTAACCAGGGTTACAGAAAACTTACCTGTAGCCCAGCAAAAAGTGTTTACAACAATCGTCTCATAAGAGCAACTCTGCAACAACAGCTGCCACAACACTATCCTCTAGGGTCTGGTTCTCTCTTTTAGAATAATATATGATAAAGACAATCTGCAAGAAGAAAACACTGGAATCTACTGTTCAGTCAGTTACATTTCAAGGGTATGTCAAGAAAATATGGGATTGAAGCAATTAGCAATGTTCCTGCTTTCTCCATATTCCAGGAAAATTAGAAGCTGTGCTCTACTTCTATGGCTATGGTTTTGTTTACTTTATTCCATCCAATGGTTTTATGGCAGGCAACCAAAAGCTGGCATTGTCTCCTAGTTCTATCAGAAAGGAGTGCTTTGCAATCCACTGTGAATAAATAGGATTTTGTTAATGACTTTTACAATAATCACTGACCTACTGGTATTAAGCCTAAAAATTTTATGTAGAAAATAAAAGCAATAAAAGTGAATCTTTAAAACCTGTATTAAAAGCATAATACTGAACTTTAAACAGATGACGGTCATTGAATGATCAGCCATGACTTTCAATCTCCTTGCTTTGTGGGGGAAGGAGAAGAAGGTCGGTAACAGATTATGTTTCTCATTACTTATGAGAGCAGATTGCTCCACAACTTCAGTGCAAAATGTTTTGCGTTCTGACCACGGCTACTGGCTGTTGGGACAGAGTTTTTGCCTGTTTTTTTTTCATTTGGTTGGCTTTTACTTGGTTTTTGTTTGTTTGCTTGCTTGTTTTTAGTATTGTGAAACAATCTGGGGATACCTGGAGCTCTTCCACTATACAAGGCAGAAGTTAGCCACTGTAATACTGCAGCAAGTAAAGCATCAGTTACGTTCAGCTGGTTCTGGTCATGATGTTACGGCCCTATGGGGGACTGATGGAGTTTCTACATTGTTGTTTTTCTTCCCTTTTGTTCCAGTTTCTCACATTTTCACCAGCCCTAGTGTTTCTCAGGTGGTGGATGAAGGCTTATATTTAACAGAATTTGAAAAGAAGATTGATGTTCCAGACTCCTATTATGGACCACGACTCTCATTCCCCCTTACTGTTGAAGATGCCAATGCTCTTCTTCATGCTTTCAGGAATGAACAGGTAAGTTGCAACTAGTTTGATTTCTTTTTACTTATTTTACATGTCTGTCAAATTGTAGCTCCACAATCGGTTGAATCCAATGTAAGGCTGAATTGGTGCCCAAGGAGATATTTCACCCTTCCTTTCCACCCCATTACTCTTTCCTGCTAGCCCCATGGTGAGGTGTCTTGGGAAACTGATTTGGCTGGAAGCTAACACAACAAAATCAAAAGCAGTCAGTTCTCAGCCAGACCAGTTCCCAGATTTGATTCACTACTTGGCTGCATGACCACCAGAGCCAGCACTGGGGAGGGGGCAGGGACTAGTGGGGAACTCCTCTTCTAGCATTGAGATTACAGTGATCATGAAATAGGAACCCTGAGCAGCTGCAAGGCAGGGGTTATCAGTGAGGGTGCAGGACTGGGGAAGGTGTCCTAAGCTGACCTAGAAACTAGTTGTCATCTTTTTCTGGGTTGAAAGTGCTCCTTGTGTGGGCCTCTTTTTTTTTTTTTTTTTTTTTTTTTTTTTTTGTCCCCCACCCCATTCTTCTTAGAGGAATTGAAGAATGAATATAAAGCATCGCTTATGTAGCGGAACAGGGTGATGGCAAAAATCTCAGGAGCTTGCTGTCTGCGGCTGCCAAGGCCCTGAGAAGGTTGTTGCTGATTCTCTCTATGTTCCTGAGCAAGCCCCTTTGCTGCCCTCTTACAAGATGAGGGTGGGGCAGGGAGGCGTTACATGGCACAGCTTTGTTTGAACTTGTGGTCATTTGTGTTTAACAATATACTGCATATAAAGGATAAGGGTCTACCTCGCTTTTTAACTTACTAAATGATGGTGGTGGTGGTGGGGTCTGTAATTTTCTGTGGAGGCTGATCTTAAAAGTAGCAAAACATAAAGCACATGAAAAATGAGCCTGTCCAGACTTCACCTTACTGTCAGCTCTCTCTTCTCTTACTATGGGTGGTGTTTTATTAAGGAAATGATTATATGCAATTGGTCTTTTTTGTTTGCTTTAAAAACATGAATCTTGGAAAGTCAGTCTCATCTATCTTCTCTACCAAACTTCCTCAGAGCTGTGTTTGAACTAAAAGCCTTAAAAATCACCAACTGACAAAATTTTCATAAAAATCATTAGCAGAGAAGACCAGAAGCTTCAGTGTTGCATTGTCATACCATTTTCACAGTGAACAGGAAGGTAACTCTTACCAAAGCAACCCTTGCCAGAATTTCCCTCTCATTATTTTTGCAATTTGCTGAAATATAATTTATGGCCTTAAGGGTTTTTTTGGTTGGTTTGTGGTGATGGTGGTGTTTTTAACTCATAGCTAGAACTACATCCTTTTTTTTTTTTTCCCCAGTTATTTTGAACAGATGACTTTATGCAATTATTCTGAGTGCTGTATATCTCAGCCTCTTATCCTTTCTGTAGATGGGAAGAGTAGAAACAGTACACAAGAAATAAAATGGGAAAATATGTAAAGCAAGTTCATTAAGGGCTCTATATCCATTCACCAGGAAGCACATGCAAAGCTCTGAACACTCCTAATTCCCAGCACTATACCATACAGCCTGTAATCATGTCTGGAGGTCTGTAGTATAAATAATCTTGGCAATAAGTGTCTGATACTAATAAAGCAGACAGACATATCGCTACTTCTAATAAGTCTTCCTTTTGTCCTTGCATTTTTTTCTCACAGCTGCTTCATGCCCGCTATGTACTGCAGCTATTATATGAAACTAGGAGAGTTCTCAAAGAGATGCCAAATATCACCCATCTTTCAACTTCCTACTCCAAGGAGATAACTGTCTGTGGTAAGGTTCCAGAGAAGGTAACTGCTTTGGGCTACGGGTTGATATTCCAAATCATTAGAGAATGATACTGATATTTCCAAATGTTGCCATTACAAGAAAGCTCTCGATGCCTTTGTTATTTTTTCTTCTTCCCCCTGGCACCCAGCATAAATTGGAACAAAAAAAAAAAAAAAAAAAAGGTTCCTGAGTCACAGTTAAGCATATTTTAAGACAGTCCCTCACCTCCTCTTTCCTTTTCTCATTAAACTTTTCTGAATGAGTCAGTATTAATTCAGCTAACACTGCAGCGTAGCTTAAATATTCCTGCACTCTATCTCTAAAATGCCACCGAGCATTTTGATCACTGGCTGCAAGTCTCACTGCTTTCTTCTCTTAGTGAGAAAAAGACTTTACCATCATAATTTACTCAGTAATGATTTTAATGAGGGCTTAATAGGGGTGGCAAACAAGACCTTTCATTGACAGCATGACTATCTAGAATAAATTGAAATTATAAGAAACCCTCATTTCTAAAGGGACTCCAGAGGATGGATCAGTCTTTATACAACCAACAAATTAGTCTCATAGAAGGATGTGATGTATCAGAAGGTAAAGAACCAAGAGCTCATTGCACATCTATTTTTGTTATGCTTTTGTAAATTATGGATAAAGGTATCCTGACTTGCCACAGAATGCAGTAGCTGCAAAACAGAACATTGACTCTTGACAGCTAGCAGTGTGCTGTGTGTAATAGTAAAGTGGTATAAGGAAGGGTACTATGACACATGCAAAACAAATAATGTTTTTTAAGTTGTGGTTATACACCTACTTTGATTGCCAGGAAAGGGTTTGTTTAAATGAGGTTTTGCATAAACAGTAATTTGTTAACCAAACCAACAAAACTTCTCTCCAAACCAGGGAAACACAGATTCATACTTGTTTGCTACGCAGTGTGTTCTTACTAAGCAAAACATGTTTCTATCGCATTTGCACTGTATAAGCAGCACCTAAAGGGGTCACTTTCCTGCCGTTGAAACCAATAGCTTTTGTAACCAGAAAGATCCTCTGCAGAAGATGAAAGACCAATTTTTAAACATAATTGGTCCAAAATAATGATTTCCTTAAAATAAGGTATAAATCCCCCCATTTTCTTTTAATTTCAAATTAATAGTACAGATTAAATATGCACCTGAAATGTTTGCATCCACATTTGCGATGAAAATCTATCATAACTTGAAGGACTGCTTAGAATGACATCAGCAGGCTCATAATTAATAGAAAGTTACACAGAAACACGTAGGCAGGGTAAAAAAGTCACTTCTCATTTCCTAATCATTGGTGATGAAAGCATATTATCACAAAATAGGTTTTGAAACCATTCTGTGTCTTTGTGGTGGTGAGTCACAGATGTGAGAAGGTTGGTTCTGTGAGCATGAAATTCAGTCGTATGCAGAGGGGAGCTGTGCTGCAGTGATCTTTGTGTTGGAGTGAAACCCCCCCTGCCTGTTCCAAAATAAATGTCTTGGAAAGGGCCAAATCTGTCATTTCCCTGAGTGAACCTTTGGCTGTGTGACTGGTCTGATCTTCAGATCCAGCTGGAAAGACAAAAACTTTATGCAAGACAATTGTATACTCTTTTAAGTATTTAATTGCCAGATTTTACAAGCGGCTTCAGCATGTACCTTAAAATGAAGCTAATCCTGATACAAGGCAAATTACTAAGGAAAACATGGGGAAGAACTTGTTAGGACTAACTAATCCAGTTTCATAATTCCAGTTTTTTCCTCCTCTCCAAGAAAATAAAGAAGAAAATAATGTTTTTGTTTCCTGTAGGAGATTTGCATGGAAACCTGGATGATCTTTTGCTGATATTCTATAAGGTAAGTAGGTAGTCTGTGATGTAGCATTTTCACTTCATGACTTGTTAAGAACACATATTTATGTCTGATAGATTTATCTCTGTTAGACCTGTACATGCGGTGTGCATGTACTACACACAGAAATCCTGGAACGATTTGGATGGTGTCTTTGTCATAGTTTTTCCTTCTCCATATCTTTCTGCTCACTGTGAAGGAGGAGATCCAGGAGATCTTTCTCTTCCTAAATGTTGAACTGGAGAATGAATCAAAACTTAAGAGGGCTCCTTGCAATGTCTCTAAAGTCCTGCCACTGTTTTATATTCCATATTGACTAAAGTTTTCTAAAATCAGGAGCTAACTTAGTTCCTGATGTAACACTACACCACGGATAATTTTGGCCCTCCAGAAGAAGTGCAAAAGCTTTCATTTAGGCCTTCCATTGATACCTGCAAAGTGTTTTTTGTTATTATTTGTTTACAGAAACAAAAAAGAGTGCTATCTGTTTAAAAGCTTTGTAAGGTTTGAAAGCAGTCACGCAGTCTGCACAAAATGGAAATACCTTGGGCACCCTTTACATATCCTTGAACAGCTGATTGCTTTTTAATATTAAAAAAGCATAGCCCTGTTTTACTGATGTGAAAAAAATTAAGGTCCAGGCTATCTTTTCCACAATTGTATATTTAACTGAAGATGCAGGAGATTTCCTGTATTTAGTTTCACATTTATCTTTAGCATGAATCATCACCTTTCATTTAGCAGATACTCTCTTTGATTTGCGCTTTCTGGGGGAAAGGGGTTGTGTCTGATCCTTATACATTCATCTGCACTGAATGGAGGCTGAAGTGAGGTAAACCAGGTGTTTAAATGATGTAATTATCTCCCTGCTTCCAACTTCGTTACACTTTATCTGACACTTGTTGAATTGAAACTTGGTTGTTTTGCCCAAGTGCATCCATGAAGCCTGTTGAAGTATAATCAGACCTTTTTATAGAGCTCTGCTTTACTTATTAATCAATCAGTTACATTTAGCTGGTCCTTGGCTTGCAGTCTTCTAGCTGTTATTTTAATTAGACAATCTTCCTTTTTGAAACTGGAATGAGAGTATCATACAGATTGGTTTCATACACAGGACCTGAAATGGGAAAAAAAAACTATATTGAAGATATATGCTCAGATATAGTTATATTTACAACTGCAATAAGCCTGAATTTTACTCCTTTGGAGTGAACAGAAGATGATTCTTTTTCCCCTCTCTAATAGATGTTACAAAGAGAAAAAAAACTCTAAGCAAGGACTAATTCTTGACTTCAGTAAAATCAGAGCCTAAACTCCCGCTGACTTCAGGGACTAGAGTTTACGCCCATTTGTTCTCTGTTAAGCTTCTAGGGGAGTCCTTCCACCAAGCCAAATAAAATGGACAAATATTTTGTCATTTCAAAGTGGTTGAGAAAATAGAGAGCACATGATAGAGCTGCTTAGTTATTTAGAAGCAAATTAAATGACACTATTTTCTGTCCTCTCTGAGCAGTTTACTCAGCAGAGCAGGGAACCCAGTCAGCCTCTGGGATCCATTTTTTTCTGCTTCCCTAACTCTGTTTCAGTTGGAAGGGATTTCCTCCTCTGAATTGGTATGAATCACCCATAAACTTAAACAAGAGGGTGCAATCCTAAACAGTGCCGTGAGGAGTGTAGTGATCTCAGCTCTGCACAGAGCTGTGCAGAGCTGAAATGGCTGCTGACACATTTTGGAGGCCTGCATGCAGACCACCTTGCACATGGTGCTCTGTCCAGGGAACTTTTATCACAGTGTTTTTACAAACTGCTAACAGTAAACACACAGAAGCTAGCAATCTACAGCTTATCAATGCAATGCTGGTTGCAATAGCATGCATAATTCTTAAACCTGGTTTGGGTGAGGCTAAGATAATTACTTTTTTCTCAATAGCCACTTTGTAAGGCTCGTTCAGTCCCTGCATAAATCTCCATTAAATTACAGCATTTCCTGAAATTCCTTGAAACTCTTGAATTTCAAATGATGTATTGCTAAGTTAAATTGTTAAATGGATGCTATGGATAGAAATAGCCTGAAGCTGTAGAAAACGCAAATGACAAACGGAAGTTAATTAATCACTAACCCAGCAGATACAGTAAGGATGCCCAGCAGTAAGTTGCCTTGTTCGCCTCTTTGACGTGTCAGAGCCCGCAACAGCCTTTAATTTAGTTTTGCTCTTACTGTTGGTTGAAACCACAGAAAAGGAAATAAAAACTTTGCATGAGTGTGGAACAAAACTAAAATGTCACATTGAAGTTGGAAGTCCAAAACAAACTCTCATTTAAAACTAAGAGTTGTGTGTAAGCTTTTCCAAAAGAAATAATAGAGTCTGCAGAGTGCTTCAGTAGATCTGTCTTTTAGGACTGCAGTTACAGAGTGGCTGTGTGTATACTGACAATCTGCTGGTGATTCACATCCCTATTGGTTTTAAGGCAAAGCTTTTATTAATTCATCTTTCCAGGAGCTGCAGCTGAGTCTCATCCTGTCTGTTCCATTCCTGAAATCTGTCCTTTCTTTTTTAAAACCACTACAACCCACTGCATTAGCAGAGTCTCATAAATTGCCACTCTTGTGAGCACAGAGCAGCTACAGGCCTCTTCTAAGTTAACTTGGAGAGAGGTGGGAAGGAGGCTATGGCAAAAACCAAGCAAGCCATATTTACAGCAGTCAGGATTGTGCCAGTGTAGGAATCGAGAGATCACGATTCACTGCTGCATCCTGACGTAACAGCACAGGACACTGATTGGGACAAAAAGATATTTCCTGATGGATTCAAATCAAATGTTTAATTGAGTCCCTGACCAAGTCATGCATCCTGCAATAAACCTGCTAAGGCAGTACACCAGGGAATGCCATAGCAAATGCTGGACATCAATGGCAGTAGCTGTATTCAGGAAGTGGGATGTCTTGCAATGCTGCCAAACCTGTTAAGAATGGCTTCCACAGCTGTAATGTGATTTTATATATGTTCTATTGATAATTCTTATGCATGCCAATTGTGAAAAGAGGTTACCTTTTTCTGGCAAGTCAAAATTGAAATAATATTTCTGATACTCATGATTGGAAATGATGAAGCTACACATAGTTGATGCTATATTTTCTGTAAGCTGATGGCACCTGTTGATGTGTTTATAACTAATCTAATGAAACATACCATCAATTCACAATACTAGCTTTTGATAAGTCACCATTCATAATAAAGCATTGCTCTGTATCTTCCAAAAAAAAATAAGGTAAGAAATACCTGTATGTACAGCCTCTCAGGTTTGTGAGTGTTCAAGTATATCTTAGCCCTGGTGGGGGACAAAGTGCAATGTGCATAAAATTGAAGTAGTGCTTTCAGGATTAAAGCAACTGTAATCAAGTTCTTCAGAGTTCTGTATTAAGATTTGATGTCCTCTGGACTATAGTCTTTCTCAGGACTTCTGGAAGCCTACACCGCAAACAATGTAACTATATGAAATCCATTTTCTTACTGTATAAGGAAACATAAGGACCTTCAGACTTGTGTCAGAAGATAATTTTTCATGGCTTTCTTGTCTTCCATTCAAAATGAATGACTCCCTTCTATTTGCAAGTGCATACCTTCCTAGCAGCAGTTGCATTAACAGAAAAGTGTATTTTATTACAAGACTAATATACTTTTTCAATTTAATGTAATACATAAAGGAAAGGATTAGAGATGGTGTTGTAAGAACAGCTAGAGAAGCCATCTCTTCTCTGATGGCTCGTACAGATTGTCTGATACAGAGGTTTTTGTTCTAAACAGTGGAAATAAAGAAATGCTGCATTTTAGATCTCTATTATACAGATTTTTTGCAGATTTTCTAGCAATGTGATCTCATTTAAATGCTATTTCCTTTATTACAGTAGCATAGCAGCATCTCTAAATGTCCTTGTTTTTGTTTCCTTCTGCAGAATGGTCTGCCTTCAGAACAAAACCGTTACGTCTTTAACGGTGATTTTGTTGACAGAGGGAAAAATTCTATGGAAATACTTATAATACTGTTTGCATTTCTTCTTATCTACCCCAATGATTTACACTTGAATAGAGGAAACCATGAAGACTACATCATGAACCTGAGGTAGATTTTAGGGGGCAGGGGAGGGAGCAGTATCTGGCCTTTCATTAGAAATGTTGGAGATTTTGAATGCTCCTTTAGCCACTGGGACACTCTAAAACAGAAGTAATGTTTTATTAGGTATTCAGGTGTAGCTTTGCATCTTCAAGATGTGTGAGAAGGGTAAAGAACATCCTCATTACACACAGACACTCGAATGGGAGTCATGTCTTCTCTCTGACGTAATCACAATCCATTGAGTCAATAGGCTTGGTGCAGCTTCTGGAGTATCAAATCTGGGGAAGGGGGATGGATGGAAGGATGATATTTTAGTTAAAGCATTGGCTTTTTTCATAGCATAGCAAAAGACATAATAGTATGCAATATAATGGAACCAGTCAACTGGGAGCTGATATTTCACTTAACTTTAGACTAAGATGTCACTTCCCAAACACACGGAGCAGGTAAATATCCTAGCTTCTACACAGAGGAGGTCCATTAGTTGAGAGGTGGCAGTCTGGCCCATTCCAGGAACAGGTGAGACCCTGTTTCTAATGCAGACATTTGTACTCAGCTGTACAGCGCTGCCAAGGGAGTGAGCACAGCCAGTGTCTTGGGCTGTAGTGAAAGCGTGAGTGGTAGACAAAACCATCTCACAGACGTGAGAAGTCAGTCCTAGTCCCTACAATTCTAAGCCTCCCCAGTACGTTTTTGGGTGACTAGCTGGTGGTTAACCTGTTGTACCCCTTCTATCACTTGTGTGCACACAGAATATATTGCAGTTTTAACACGGGCATAAACCTGGATTAGAGGCCCATGTTCAAATCTTACTAATGATCCATGTAAGAGAATCAAGTTTCACATGACACTTCCTTTTTCAGCACTTAATTAAAACAAACAAACAAACAAAACCCCCAAAACCAAACAAAAAAACCCCCCCAAAACAAACCATAGAGAAAGATCAGTTACTTTATCTACAAGGTAGGAAAATTCCTGCCCAAAGTAGTAAAAAATATTAACTAAGTCTGTGATGGTATGGAGTGCAAAGATACATTCCTGTGTATGACTCTTTGCTGGGCATTTTGATTAGCAGTGCTGCACATCAGTAAATTTGAAAGCTGGTGGTGTGAAAATGCCCCTTGCACCAAGGATATCTTCGTCTTAAAAGAATGAGTATCAAAATCCTTATCCCTTGTGCGGGAAAAGACATGATAGATGACATTGTCTAATAAAGTTGAGTGATTTAGGACAAAAACTCTGTGGAGGTCTTTTGGGAATTTTTGCCCATCATCAGTTAGGTTCCTTTGAAATTTCTTTGCAGTATCTGAAAGGTAAAACTGCTAAACTATTTCATTTAGATGGGAAAAAGGCCACTTAATAATTATTGGTCTGGATTCTGTTCCTGATCTCTTGTATGTACAAGAAATCAGTTTAACTCAATTATTGAGAAAGAGCAGAAGAAAGCATCTTTAAAACTGAGGTGAGACAGAATGGCAGGAGAAAAACAGGGCTAGAAAACTCCTGGCAAACACTGTAGTGCAGAACATGATGCAGAAAGGGCATGCTGAAAACCAGTTTGTTATGCTGTCCTATTTTCAGATACGGCTTCACAAAAGAAGTTTCGAAGAAGTACAAGGTAAGATTCCTCCTCCTTCTCCTGTATTTTCTTTGTAGTCTTGCACATGAAAAATGAAACTGTGTAAACAAGGAAACTTCCAAACAGTTTATTTAGGTGTAGTACAGAATGACTTCAGTAATGTAGTTGAAATTATTTTGGATTTTCAGTGGAATAACTGACAAAACAATTTTAAGCCTTTTATGCTCAGAGTTCTATAGGGTGAAATAAATAACATCCATAAGGCCACTCAAGAACACAAAAAGAAGTGAACGTGAAAGAAAAATGAAACGCTACAGAGACAATCAAATGGCCCTAAGGTAAATGTCAGAACATGTTTGTCAGTGTTGCAGTTTGGGGTGTCACCTGGATGGAACCGGTCATACAGACTGTGGCAGACATTTCAGCAAAATCTTGAATTTAGAAGCAACAGAATCTGCCAGAAATAGCATCTAATATAAGAGTATGTTTTACAGGACCATGGGCAACAGATTTTGCGTCTTCTGCGAGACGTCTTTAGCTGGCTTCCCCTTGCCACTATAATTGATAGCAAAGTTCTTATCCTACATGGAGGGATTTCAGACACCACAGATTTGGATTTCCTGAGTGCACTTGAGAGAAATAAGGTAAGAGATCATATTCGGGGGGGGGATGGGGGTGGTGGGGGTGGTGTAATTTTGTTTTGTTTAAAAAATCTAGCAGTACAAATACTAAGATCAAGTTGTTTGCACTAGGAAAGGAAACGGCTGCTGTATAAGGTACGTAAGGAAAAAAAAGTCTTGTTTTTCTTCAAAATCAGTGTTTAGGAAGGAAGGTTTCAGTAGGCATTGGGAGCCAATTGTTTGGCTGCTGTAAAATAACATGGGCCTTTTGATTTTAAAATAGCTAAAAATACTTTAGATGCCTCCTTCCTGCAGTGATGACGCATTAGCCAGAAAGTATGAAAAGTACTTAATTCTCAGGCATTTCCGAACACTTTAGAAATCAGTCTAGCCACATCTTTCTAGCACTGCCTTTTGTCCTGGGGCTGTGCTGTTGCTGTCTGTTGTGTGGGGGAAGCTCTCCACCCGTGAGGCGCTCCCTTGGCAGCAGCGGAGCTTTGCACATGTGGGAGAGCCTTTCCAGCAGCATCAAACTTCAAGACCTGGCCTCGAAGACAGGAACTGCTGCTTTTCGGGGATTTAGAGGACAGAAATGTTCTCTTTTTTCTGAAATGGTGAGCAAACAGCTCTATCAAATCAGTGGAAAATGGTGTGGGATTTGGTCTCAATTTGGACAACTAAATCAAGATGTCTGCTTGTGATCAGGGTGCTTAGGCTCCTTATAATCAGTGGAGATCCAGGTCTTATCATTGCTCAGGCGTAGGTCTCCAGTGCTGTTCGTGGAAGCACCTCATAGCCTAGAGATATCCCCTCTGGCCTCTGCCTGCGTCTGGAGAAAGTTGTCTTCACAGGTCTCCTCCACCGGTCTCCTTTAGGTCTGATTCGTATCTGCCCATCTCACGCTAATTCACAGATAAGGCAGAGCATCCCAGATGGCACGAGATACCTATGTTTAAGCAACCTTGTGTACCTTGTCATTAGTGTCTGTGGAATCCAGAACTATTTCTCTCATCCTCATGTTTTCTAATGCAGAAATAAATGCTTTACAGGACAGTCAGGTGTATCTCTGTTTCTTAAAGATGTGAAAAAGGGCAATGAATGCTTCTGGTCATTGGAGTCTGGGCTCCGTTGGTTGTACCACTGTACACTAAAATTGGGTGCCTAACTACAGATGCAGGTGTCTTAACTGTGAGCTCTGTTCTGCCCACACTTTCACCAAGGCTGGGCTCGGCATGTTGCTGATGCAGTATCTGTGAAATTCAGAATTAACAGGTCAAAGTTGCTGCCACAGGAGAGCGTTGCTAATGAGATGTGTGGGCCACAACTTGTGGTGATATCACTCAAGGCCAACTGATGTATTTTAATTGGTTCAGCTGGCAACTGACAGGTCTCAAATACTGGTCAGTGCACTGGGGAATAACCTGGTGTTTTGCATTTTGTTTTGCATCAGTCCTTTCCTTTGTTAAAGAGTAGACTTTTGGGTGGTGGTGGTGTTTTGTTGTTGGGGTTTTTTTGTTCTGGAAATGTGCTAGTATTGAGAAAATTTCAAATGAGAAGAAAAGATACTCCCTAGAGAAGAGTTTGTATTAATGGGCATTGATGGAGCCATAGCACACAGCTCTGAAAAAGCAAATGCCCATGCGTATTGGAAGAGGTTGATTTAATAATAAAAGGGCCTGCTGTAATACTTCATAATTTCACTGTTATCCTCCCGATATTCCATTTATTTTAGCCAAATTAACCTAGCAGCATGCTACTGTATCAGAATAGTAGTGAATGCAGTTCATCTTCAGTACAGTATACATGTATATTTTCAGTTTCCAGTGAACTGGGCCCTTAAGTGTCATCCCTGAGCCCAGAACATACTTGCTCTATAGTGAGACCTTATGACTGACTGTGGCTTGGAATGAGTCTGTGTGTCTGGATCAGAATGTGAGAGCAGCTCTGAAGAGGCTGGTCACTGATAGACATAAAGCAAAATTTCTGCAAGTGCCAAACACCTGCAGCTTCCACTAAACCTGTGAGTTCAGGACATGAGAGAGTTTAATACTGAGTACAGGAAAAAGGAGCTGATATGCCTTTCAGCTGACATGTCTGTTATCATCTTTATGTTCTGGTAACTCTTTCTTTCTTTCTTTCTTTTTTTTTAAAGTTGAAATCTTTGATGCGGCCACCAAAGTCAGTGAGAGACAGACAGGACCAACTGAAGGAGAGAATTCCCACCACCAGACCCAGTAAACACACTGCAGGGAAAACACAACACATCTCTTTATCGGGCTGTGCTGAGCCTTCAGGCTCAAATTTGCCTCCAGACCCCGCCCTGAAGGAATGGAAACAAGTAGGTGAAACCAAAGACAGACTGATTCCGAACCCCCACTGCACAAAACCAGCAGGTGCTCTGTTCAGGCAGTATGTTTGAGTCTGAGGGAGCTGTCTCTTGGTAAAAAAACCATCATTCTTGGGAGTATACTAGCCAGCTATTAGTTATTTGGATGCTTTTTATAGACCTGGTAATAAAGGCTTGTGATTTTTATACCTAACAAGTACAGCTTACCCATTTTTTCTTAGCCATTAGGAGGAAACTGCTCAGTACGAAATGTGTTTGTGTGCCCTCCTGTGGTTGGATCTGTTGGTACATATGTGGTTGTCAGTTTAAGTAGGCCAGACTTTGCAATCGTTGGTGATAGTGAGCACCTTTTTTTGGCTGTGGTTTTGGCAGCTGAATGCTGATACTGTCCAAAAAACCCAACTCCTGAGACCTACAGGCTGATTACTCAAGAGTGGGAAGTTTTGTCCTCTGGCTGTTCATTTCCTCTTGAATATTAGAGGCAATATGGAGCTCTTGTCATACTGTAATTTAACAAATGGTGACAATGCGAAAAGCTGAATTTGCACAGAAATTTAGAAGCTCAAAATTGAGTTTTATGTAAGTTTATTTTTCTGAGCCTCTCTTCAGACAACTGCTTCAAGGGGCAGACAGTTTTCTTTTGCTTCTTGAGAAGCAAATCTGTCTCTGAAAATGTGATTTCCTATCTGAGCTACAAACTAACAAAGTGGGCACAAGCAACCCCCCTGAAATATGACAGTCCCCCAGCTAACCAAGTGTCCACTCAGCCACGCTCACAAATGTGAAGTGGAATGAGTTAAGTGTACACCTTGTCCAGTGAGGTTTAAACAAACACATTTTGCCTCATGTTTGCTACTGATGAGAATTATTAGGTTAGGTGACTTTAAACCATGATAATTCATCCTCATGTCCGAATCCTACTAAAATGCTAATATGTAAAATCTTGTTTTGAAACATGAGCTAACTGAAGACAATAAAGCCAAAGGCAACTCTTGTCATGTTTAGAGCAGGCACTCCCAAGCTTAGTTTAGGTAAAACCACCAACCCATGTGGTTATCAGGTCTGTGCTGGGAAATAGAAAATGCCTCTCACACCTACGTGTGAAGAAGGCAGCTTTTGCTCTCTTTGAAATAGCCCAGGTACCATTCCTGAGGCACCCAGCTGAGTCTGGAAGCCTCGGCTGTAAAAGGAGGTACATTTCTGAAATGATATTTCATCAGAAGAAAGTTCATCCAAAATGTAGAAAATGTTTCTTAAGATAAGTAGAACAAAATTTTCAGCCCAAAAGAATGCCCTGCTGAAAGGAAGGAAGAAAACACAATACCTACTGTTAGCTCAGGTGTGTTTTCTCCCTGTACTGTGGGGCTTTTGCTATAGCCAGTACTTTAGACAGCCATAGCCTGTCAGTTCTCACCTACTATCAGTGCTCACTTGCTTGAGTTTGCTATTTATAGATCCTTGACATTCTCTGGAGCGATCCAAGAAGCCAGAATGGCTGTACACCAAACAAGTGTCGAGGAGGAGGTTGTTACTTTGGTCCCGATGTCACTGCCAAGCTGTTTGAAAGGTATAATCTAAAGATGCTCATCAGGTCTCATGAATTCAAGCCAGAAGGTTATGAGATCAGTCACAATGGGAAGGTAAGGTGCTTCCATGTAAAGTAGAATTCTCCTGTGAATTTCACAGGCATATCCACAGCTTTGTCTCCAAAGTTAAAAAAAATGAATGACTTCTTTAAAATGGGTTTGGGGGAATTGTGTGCTAGATAGATGCTAGAAGACATTACGGAGTTCTGACAAAACTCTTTACAGCTTCAGGGAGTGGGGACTGGCTTATTACTCGTGTGAAAAAAATGAACATCAACAAAATCCCTGAGGAGAGTTATGTGTAAATACAGTGCAAGAGATCCTCTAAGGATCTAGAAGCCTTTTAACTTAATTTCTTTTCTGACCCTACTCTGACATGCTGTATCAGGAAGCCAGCAAGAATCCTGAAAACCAGATCTATCTTAGAAAGAGGTTTCTGCTAAACAGCATGTTGCATCACACTTCCCTCTGAACTGAAATCTTCCTGTATCAGGCCAAAAATACAGGCCTGGAGCTCTGACTCAAAGTGCGAGCAATTTGGTGAACAATGTAGTTGTTAATCTCTGGTTTTATATGTAGACAATTTTATAACCTGCATGTTTTGCTAAGATCAGTTTCAGAAATCAGTCTTGAGAGTTGTTCTAGCCATTCCAGTTTCTTTGTTTCCTATGATCAGGTTATCACTATATTTTCTGCCTCTAACTATTATGAAGAGGGAAGCAACCGGGGAGCATACATCAAACTGAATCCTGAACTGATTCCTCGGTTTGTACAGTACCAAGTCAGCAAGTACACACGCAGGCAGAATCTTCGGGAGAGGTAAAGCTGTGTGTTGTATGCAGCGAGCGTGTACTCACTTAGCATGTGAATACCTGCCACAAATCTACAGCTTCACTGAATAATTGAATAGGCATCTGTTTTTTCCTTGGTTTTCTTTATTTTTCTCTTTTACAATTTAAAAATTAATGCAGCAGACAAAACATGTTCTAAGAAGTGCTCTAACTTGGTTTCCTGAGAAACTCCCAAAGGTAATTAGATGTAGTAAGTGGTTAGAACAGACCATTGTCAGGGACTAGTAAAGGGCCTGTGCCTGTCTGTCAGGTCTGCTTTAAGGCTGCAGTGTTAATCTGGACAAATCCTGTTATGAATTGAGTCCAAAAAGTTTATCATGACAGCTTTGCCATGCCTAGCACTGTGGTTAGATTTACTAAAGCAAAGCAGCTTAGAATTACCTGCATAAACTCGATTATCTCTTAAGTTCAGATTATTCTTATGGGCCTTTGTTTTGTTGTTTTTGTTCTTCCCTGTCCCCCACCATGTTGTCTTTTAGGATGACCCTAAACATACTACATGTTAAAGGATATAAGAATTTGATAATGAATGTTGAAAAGCATAAAATGTTAGAGGATTTCAATCCTTTAATAATCTGCTCTGCATTTTTTTTCCTCCTAGGGTGGGTACAATTGAATCATCTGCCTTAAAGTGCTTACGAGAGAAGATTTATGCTCACAGGTCTGAACTCACTAGTGCTTTTGCACAGTATGACCTCAACGGCACAGGTAACACTACTTTGTTCAGCTGCCACCATGGGGAAAGCAGCTTCCATGTGCATGTGGGGGCAGAGGGGACAAACCCCATGGAGATGAGTCCTGCCTGCCAGCATAAGGCTGGAGGGCAGCACAGGCTGGTCGATCTTGTGTTCTTCCTGACCACAGCGGAGGAGAGGTATTAGCAAGTGCCTAGCCCCAGAAAACAACCTGAGGTGGATGAAGCTTTAAGTAGGAAGAAGAAAACAAATGAAATACATTGGCAAATAAGGGAACGGTGTCTGTTGTTGAGCAGAGTTTGGACAGGCACATCTAGCTCCAGAAGCTCAAAGGTCACCACCTTCACTTAGGAGTGTCTTCAGACGATGTCAGACAGGGAACTGGGGTCTTGGGTGAGAGGGAACTGGTCTTCATCTGTGTCTGGGAGATACCTGAGGAAAGCTGACTGGCTATGCCACTAGCAGACAAACACTCACCCATCAGTTGAGGAAAAGTCAGTGGTTAAACTGATACATGAACCTTTTATGTAGGAGCAAGTTCTTGATGATTTCTAGCACAAATACAACTTTACCTCATGATGGCTTCTCACTTGGCTGGGTTGTCATCTGTGCCCCTAAAAGGGCAATCAATAGCATGATGGTACTGCCTCTTTGGCCACTGAACAACTGTTTAACATGTTTCTGTCTTACTGGGTTTTCAGCCATGTATATATCTCTAGTTGCAGCTCAGCTCACATCTGAAATACCTTTTGAGTTTATGCCATGAACAGTATTAAAACATGCTACACATCATAATAGCATCACAAAGTTGTTGAGGTTGGAAGGGACCTATGGAAATGTCTAGTCCCACCCCACTGCTCATTGTTATGAGGGTTTTTTATCCCAGGGTTAGGAGAAAATGTTTATGTTTTGCAACTGTTCTTACTGATGTGTGCTGTGTCACATACTGCTTGTAACCATGAACCGACCCCTTCTGGCAGGCAGGATTTCTGTCAATGACTGGGCTGCAGTGATGGAGTCTGTCCTACAGCTGGAACTGCCCTGGAGGATGCTGCGCTCGCAGTTAGCACAGATGACCCCAGATGGAGAAGTTGACTTCATGTCATGTTTTTATGACTTGAAAATAGGTCAACCTATAAAAGAGGTAAGGACAAAAATGCCTCCTTGCAAATCTTGGAGGAGCAGCTTTTGGTGCAACTTGAGGCACAAGACAGTGGTTTGGCCAATCATGTAAACATCTACAGCTGAACTGGTTGCCAAGCTTCTTTTTATAGTCACTGGAGGGAAATGAGCAGTGCTAGGGTACGAATCATCATTCCCTGCTAAGGTAGATGCTTAAAATAGGTTGGATGAATCACATGCTAGAACTGCTTCTTACTTTCCGTTGAGTCTCAAGGGCGTTTAGATAATGTAGCTGAGGAGATGCGACAAAGCCTACCCAGAGCACTCAACCCTTACTCTTTGAGACAAGCTTTTCAAATGTGCACCAGAGCCAATTCAGGCACCTGTAGGAGGGAGTCACATTTGCACATGGATGTTTAGATGTTTTAACAGTAGCTGAGGTCTCTTCTACAGAGTCCAGTTGTTACCAAGTGGCTGCATAGTGATTTGGTACTTGGCTATTGCTGTCATTTTCTAAATGGCAGGCTCCATTCACGTATGTACAGTAAAAGCTTTGTATGGCTGCATGGCATACAGCGTCTTCCCTAGATTATCTGTACTTCCACAAATAACTACTGAAGGAGGAGGTTTGAAGGGCTCCTTCCCCTCTGTCCTGCCATCTGAAAGGGACAGGTTTTAGCTGATTATTCCTCAGGGCAAGACACTAAGTATCATTCCAGGGAACTCAAGTGTAAGGATTTTTTTTTTTTTTAGACATTTGACAAGTTAAACTGGGAAAATAGATTTGGATAGTACATATTCTGTGGTTAGCCTAATGCAAACCAAAGTCTGAAGAGTTTCCTTTATGTGACTTCAAAACCAGGTTCAGCCAGCTTTGGTGGAAACACTGTGCAGATACAGAAAGGATCTGGAGATCATCTTTAATGTCATTGACAAAGATCACTCAGGTAAGTCTAGGTAACTCCACTATACCAGCTCTAAGAAGCCTATACTAGTTATCTTTCCCCACTGTGTTTCCTCCTTAAGGCTTCTAAATATAGAGGAACCAGAGGTGATGTCATTTTTCCATTTTAGTGAAGACTAATTTAAGCAGTCAGGCTGTAACCATATAAGGGGTGGTGCACAGAGCCTAACTTGAGAAAAACTTCTCATATATCCCATCTCCAGTACTGGCTTCACTCTTTTGGGGGCTTTTTCTCCCTTCCACTCTCATTCAGTATTTACTGCTTTCTCAATTCTGCTGTTGAAAGCATTAGATCATTACCTGAAGTAAAAATGTGCTTCAGTCATGAAATCACAAAACTCACCCAAGCCACGGTAGGCAGGTAACTTTCTTGCAGTGAAGGAGCGTGCATGTGTGTGTATGCAGGAACGGGAAACAGCACTGGAAAAAAAGCAACCTGCTGTCTGTCTCCTTTAGGTCTGATTTCTCTTGAGGAGTTTGGCCATACATGGAAACTCTTCGCTTCTCACCTGGGCATTGAGGTGTATGATGAATCCCTCGACAAGTTAGTCCTCAGCATAGACTACAACAAAGATGGCCACATTGACTTCAATGAGTTTTTAGAGGCCTTTCATGTGGTTCATAGACTAGAGAAGAAGGCAAACTCATGAAAAGGCAGAACTTGTAGGCTGTCTTGGAAGCTCACCTTCCTGTTATTAGTCATAAGCAGTCTGGGAAACCAATTTCCAGACTCCCAATAAATGGGCTGCTCGATACTGTAAGCATTGCAGTCACTGTCTAAGCCTTTATTTAGTCCCTTCTCGATGGCATATACCTGCTAGTAATGAGCCAGAAAAGATTAAAACCCACTACTTATATATAGTATTACTGTTTGTCACTGCCACATCAGTACTTTACAATTTATCCTCCCCTTTGGTGGCATCTCCCCCATCCATCTAATCTGTGAACACTACCAAGGCTGTACCTACAACCCCACAGGAAGAGAAACTTCAGAATGTTTCTTTCAGCAGGCCCTAGTGACAGCTGAGAAGTAGTGCTGATGGCAGCAAGGAACATATCAGACCCTCCCTGGCGATACAACAGGCATGACAGAGGCCTGCTGTGGACTATCCAATCCAGGAGAGGAAAATAGGGAAGAAGAACCATCTAGTAAAGAAAGGTAGTTCTGCATTTAATCTTCCTCTCCACGTGATGCAGTGGAAGTAAAACATTCCAGGTCACTATCTATCCTCCTCAAAGTTTACAGACACAACTTAAAGGATTTTAGTTGAAAGGCATTTATGCTTGCACTAGATTTCCTCTTGCTATTGCTTACTTTTCCCTACATTTGTTGGGGCTTGGAGCTAAAAGTAATAACTTATCACCTTACTGAAGGCTAAATCCATAGCATGTTGATGTAACATATGATAGATCACAAAATAAAGCTTTAGCTTTCACAATAATGTGTAAGTAAGTGTGGTGTCTTTTTGCCTGTATTTTGGTATCCTATACCTATGAGAGTACAACACACCTTTCCTGGAGATGAACTGGATTTCTTTAAAACAAAGAGATGAGTAAGAATACAGAATAGATTTTGATACTACTGAACCTAACTATTCTTGCATATAGTTAAGCATAAATTCTTTATCAAGTAAAGTAAACAAATTCTGAAATTGAGGTTTTGGAACACAGTGCTCCCGGCCTCCTCCCAACTGCAAGCCAACATTCCCATTCCTGCAAGTACCACCGCATCCACTCCTGTGGGGGAGAGCAGGGAGATCTGGACCTAATTCTCTTGCATGTTACACTCTGAAAGCAACACACTGCTGCAAAGTGAAGTGCAGCCAGGTCAGGAGCTTTTTGAGACAGTACTTACCTCATTCAGCCTTAGTAAATACAATGGGCATAAAGTGCTTTTTGGGTACAAAACAGTTGCAGCCTAGCCTGTCTTCAAATTTTAGTACGAAAAGATAAACTAAGTAAAGTAGCTAGGTTTTATTTAATAATGGTGTTGAAAGCAGAAAAAAAAGCATCCTTCCCAGTTTATCATGACAGAATGTGACAGCAGCCTAAGCTTATGATATACTGCTGTCTGAAACCTTACTTTCTATGATTAAATACAAAACACTTTTCCAGAAGTATTCTGTAGCTTGACACATGAATGAATGAATGTGCACACACTTAGCTCTAGTGCCTAGGGGAGGGGGGAAGAAAAATCTTTAATAGTGCAAATGAAATTTACAGTAAAACATTAATGGCATTGGTAATATTGAATGTATATTTTTAGCATGCATTTATTCTGATCTATGTACCGTGAGGCTCAGTCCCACCTTATTCCAGTGACAAAAAGGCTCCACCTAAGGACAAACACCACTGCGCATGAGTGGTGGGAAGCGAGATCCCACCGTTTCCTTGCTGCGGGTGCGAAGCAACCAGGTGGAAGGGGACAGCGCAGCCCTTTGGAGTCCTCGCTAGGGTGTGCGACAAGACGGGGGAGCTCAGGAACATGGCTGACAGCCTCCAAGCTTAGGCGTCCCCCTCCAATGACGTGCTCCTGAAGCTACCCAAACATGACCTAGAAGGACGCTCACCTTGAGGGATCACTTCATGAGAAGGGATGTAAAGGTAAGGCTGCGGCGCCGTGCTTCATGCTGCAGGTGGTGAGATGAGGCTTTCAGGGACGCAGTACTGAAGTATGAGAGGAGCCAAAGAAGAAAAAGCCTGCCCTGTCAGCTGCTAGTGGCACACAAGAACCCCCTAAGAGAAGAAGGGGGTGGCAGGAGGAGTAACTGTGAAACATCTAATGGCAGGAATAAAAGCCACTCAAGACAAAAACTGGGAGTGGGAGAATGCCCAGCTACTTGTACTTAAAACCAAACCATTCGAGCTGAAGCTCTTCTTCCATAACCCCCCACCCCCAATCTTTATTTCTTAATCCCACAATTTTATGCAGCAGCTACTTAATATTACAGCTGTGAGCAGTCCTTTGAGCAAGGACCACATCAGTCTGCAGCTGAGTGCCCAAACTCTTGCCCTACAGTACAGAGGCCACCGCTGGAGGCATCGCTCTTTCTCCAACTGTCTGGGCAGCTCTGCCCCTGCCTCTGGACTGTGCCAGAAAGTGCCCAGCATTGGACCCAGACTTACCCAGGCTCCCACTTCACTCAAGCCCCTGGCTGTTGCCGGAGGGGTGACCCAGTCCCGCAGAGCCCTGCGCCGCAGGGGCCCAGCCTGGGTGTTTCACTACCCACCACAGAAAGCGACTGCCCCTTTTTAGGTCTCCTAAGGCCTGCGCTGCTCACCTTCACCTCCCAGGAACAAGTGGGGCTCTTTCCCTGAGGAAGGAGACTACAGTTAGCAGGAGAGAAGCCAGACAAACTTTGTACCCCAACCATCCAGTTTTCACATTTACTTGTAGGAACAGCAGCTGGGGGAGATCAATGCCACTTTTTATCTGCCTAGTCTGACAAACTCATGTCCTTCACACAGCAGCAGGGAGAAGGCAACAGCTGTGAGGCAGCGAGGAGGGAGGGTGCTGGCCCAGAGGAGCTGGGTTGAGGCCAGCATGCTCCATGTGCTCTGAGCTGGACACAGCTCATTCTTCTGGCCAGCCCCCCACCAGCCCCGTTTCTGGTTGCAGGCATGCCTGGCTGCTCCCCAGAGTTGTGTAGGTGCTTCTGTCCCCACTGTGGCAAACTGCTTAGGGCAGCAGTGCCCATCAGACTGGAAAGACCAGGTCTGAGGTGGGTCTATTTTAATTCATTAATGCCCTTGTGTCTGAGGCACAGATGTGTCTGTTTGCTTTGCCTTCTTCCTATAAATGAGTTTCCAGGGACTTGAAGTCAGCCCTGTCATCCTCTGCTGGCTCCCCTGGGAAGCCTGACAGGCAAGTCCAGCCTCTGCCAATTAGTTCAGCCCCATACAAACTGCAAAGAAGTCATCACATATTTTCACTGGGAGCACACCCTTACCACCGCCAGCACTAGCTCTGCTTTGCAACAGCTTTGCACACAGACAGAGGTGGATCCTCAGCAAAGCAGGGCATCTATATAAAACCTTAGCTGCTTAATTAGGTTTGCACTAAAATGTGACTCTCCAATTGGAGCAGTTCTTCAGTCTGAGTAGCAATGCGGTACCAAGTTGCAGCTCTGCCCGGCCTGGAGGTAACACAAGTTTCCCTTCCATTGCCCTTGTGTTTCAGAATCCCACCCCTCACCACCAGCTACCTCAACTCTTCAAACTGCCATGTAAGTACTTTCCCAGTGCCTGCACTCCATGCGATAACTGATCATGATGATCATAAATATACCAAAACCTAGGTCATACTATGAATTTAAAATTAAAGATACCAATGATACTCCCGTTACAAAAAAAAAAAGTGTCAAGGGGTGTCCAGGTATGTTTGGCCATAGGCTCGATCGTTTTAGACTTCAATGCAGCTGTATGTAAAACCAACCACACCACCCTTCTTGTTTCTGAAAACAAGACTGCACTGTAGGTAAAAAAAATAAATAAAGAGCCTGAGGGAAAATCATCTTGCATCTCTCACAACCCAGGATTCAACAAGAAAAGCAAAGATAACTGCTATTACTGACTTCATATGATACTGGATAGAACAAGAAACCATGGCACAGGCTCTCGTGTGCTCACACTCTGCACTGTCACATCTGTCTGCTTAAACTAAGCAAAGAATTTTGCTTTCATTTACTGGGTAACAAGCTAAATGATCTCTCACAATACATACGAAAAGGAAAAAACCAAACCCCTATAATGAAGGCAAACCCCTACAAAACAGGCACCATGCCAATAAATAACTTCCACATCCAAGTGCTAATTGTACCCAAAACGTACCTTTTTACTAGCCCCTCAACAGGCCCACAGTTTTCATGGTGGTTAATACAGTACATGCCTCTCGCAGAGCATCCAGTCCAAGGGCCCCCAGACTCTCCTGGTCTCTACAAAAACATGAAATGACCTCCTACAGCCTCCCACACCTTTGCTCTCTTGAGCCAGTGTCCAGATGTTGTTACAGCAGCAGCGACTCTGTGGAGGGAGAGCAGGAGGGGTGGCACGGCCCTCAGGAGCTTAGCCTCCCCAGAATCATGGGTGTTGGCAACTGGCAAGCAAGACAGGGGTTTACCTCCCTCCTTTCATCAAGGTATTTCAGGTATCTGTATAAAACTGGAACCAAAAACCTCGTTCTCAAAAGCACCACATACTATTACTACAAAAAAAACCAAAACAAGTTTTCAAATCCGGTAAAAACAGCATAGTTATGAAGAAGCGGAGGGGGGTCTCACAGAAATATACTTATCAATCAGGCTTATTTGCACAGAAAATACTTATTTCTTACAGGCCATGTGTGCTCTTTTCCCCTCTACCTGGCAAGACATAATTGCTCTGATCCCCTCTGCTCGCAGGGCAGCAGTGCCAGCACACCCCCATGCTGCTGAGGGACCCCGTGGCCGCGGAGAGGGTAAAGCTACAGCCACTTTCATAAGCTGCCAGCCAGATGCATGCTGGCTGTTGGCAAAACCAGCAGCACCAGTGCAAAGAAAACCACAGCTGACACCTGGGGTAAAGCAGGGTTTTCCCTTCCAGAGGTAGCCTGCCTCTATTTTTAGTTTAAATGGCTACCCAGCCATTTCCCTGCAGGACACACCTATTCTCC